CACACGTTTGTTTCATCTCATTGACTGCAGTTCCCACACTGTGACCTCACTCCTCCCACTTCCTCCCCGGGTTTCCTGTTTCCATTCCTCCCTCTCTCCTTACCCTTCTGAACTTGGTCCAGGGGTCAGCGCTGCCCTTTTGATCCCAGAGGGTTGATGATTCTAAGGTGTGCGGACCTCCTCAGTGTGACTGTTCCCATTCTAGTGTCTATTGTTTTGACTGGAAATTGAGCCTAGGGCCTTTAATAAGAAGGCAGCATGAAGATGGGTGTCTGTCTATCCCTGAACAAAGTGGTTGAATAATTAATGCCATGGAGCTAGACTCTGAAGGCTGGAAGAAAGAGTTACAAGGTCACGGGTTAATAATATTTCAACTTTCCTAATGAGTAAGCCCTCGGAGTCCTGGTGTGGCGCTGTGGGCTAATGCATCAGACTGCAGAATCGTTTGAACTGCAAGGTTGGTGGTTCAAGTTCACCAGCTGTTCCTTGGAAACCCTATACAGGGGCGTTATGAGTTGGAATCGACTCGACAGCACTTAACAACAACAACAGTAATGAGTAAACAACTTTCCCTCTGCTTAGATTGTGCAGAACTAGGTGTGAAGACCTTCAGCGAGATGGGCCGATCTGGTGGCTGACACTGGGCCTCACACATGCTGCTGTGAGGCTGTTGCAGGACTGGAGAGGGTTTCCTTCTGCTGTGCCTGGGGTCTCTGTGAGTCAGAACCCACTCAGCGGCAAGTAACAATAACAATAAACCTAAGGAGCAACAAAAAGAGATAAGAAAATGTCTGCCAGGACAGAGACATGGATATTTAAACAAATCATCGTATTCCTACATGAGCTTGTGCAGAGAGGAGACTGGATCTCACATTACCTTGGTTCTTAGAACTCTAGATGTGGTAACAGGAATGTTGGCTTTCCAGGAAAGCTGTGAAACACCAGGATGACCGTCCCAGGAGTCTCCGTCCCAGGAGTCTCCATCCCAGGACATCCCAGCCAGTGTTCTGCTCTGTAAATGAGGAAACAGTACAAAGAGAAGTGTCATTGTTTAAATACCCAGCCAGGCGTTGGTATGAAACCATCTACGCTTGTCATACGTGTTAGTTCCTCATGTGGGAGACGTTCAGTAGGGGCCCCAGTCCTCACGATCATTCGAAACAAAACCAAACTCACTGCCATCGTGTGAATTGTGACTCACAGTGACCCTGAACAATGAATCGGAAACCAGGTTGTGAAGCTTTACATGGGAGAAGACAGCCTCATGTTTCTCCTCTAGAGTAGCTGGTGGGTTTGAACTGCCAATGCTGTTAGCAGCCCAGTGTTTATCCTACATCACCACCAGGGCTCCTTCAGGATCATTCTAGAAGAAGACTTTTCATTTCTGGGACGCAAGTGACAAACCATAGTCCCTGAAGAGCCCACATTCTAAGCTTTTTGCTCTGTCTCCCAGAACTTCCTTCGAACCTGCCCAATCCTCAGAAGTGTTCTTTAGAGAAACATGGAGAAGGTATGAAGGAGGTGGGAAGCACTGCTTTATCAAAGAAGCACATCCATGTCGCATTTGCCCACTGGCTGATAAATTCTGCTTACCCCTTTCTAGAAAAGACGTATGCATTTCTTGTGAACACAAGACATCCTAAGATAAGAAGACAGATAGAGCAAGGGATGGATATGGTCATTTCCTCCGTGATTGGAGAGAGCTATCGGCTTCAGGTAAGCTTTAGCCTGGCTGAACCCAGGTCTACTACTACACAGAGGAGTCCCTGGGTGGTGTGAATGGTTAACGTGCTTGGTTGCTACCTGAAAGGTTGGGGGTTGGAGCCCACCCCAAGGCACCTTGGAAGAAAGGTCTGCAAGAAAGATCTACTTCTGAACAAGCTATCACTGAAACCCCTGCTGAGCACAGCTCTACTCTGACACACACTGGTCAGCGTAGGTCCAGCACCAGCTGGTTTTAATTACAGAAAGCCAAACCTATGCATTTGCCACCAGGGCTGAGTCCTGAGCTTGCTCCAAACCCTTCTGTGCGCCTTTGCATCACTTGTTGTTGTGTGCTATCGAGTTGGTTCTGACTAATAGAGACCCTGTACAGGGTTTCTGAGGAGCGGCTGTTGAGTTTGAACCGACGACCATGCATTTCAAACCGACCTTGAGGTCAAGTGCTTATCCTGTGGCATCACAGCTGCCAGTTTGTGGAGTTTGTTCCCAGCAGTTTAGGAAGGGGCTTCAAGATGGGGACCTGGAGAGAGGAAGCAATTGAGGACCCTAGATCCATGGGAAGAGAGGGACTGAGAGCTGGCAGCCAGGAGGAAGACTTGCAGAATGTACCCTTTGGTGCTGTAAATTATATATGCCTGAGTGTTGTTTTTTTTAAAAAAACTAAAATGAGTAGAGAGAAATACTGTGAACTGATGGTACATGCTGTTGTGGTATGCCGTGGAGTAGGTTCTGACTCATAGCGACCCTGTACAGGGTTTCCAAGCCTATACATCTTTAAGGGAACTGAAAGCCTCATGTTTCTCCCACAGAACAGCTGGTAGTTTTGAACTGCTGACCCTGAGGTTAGCAGCCCGATTCATAACCACTATGCTACCAAAGTGATGGAACATAGAGGGGATTATAATCATTGTAATGAAACAAGGTATATGATTTGTTGAATGTAAAACTGATGATCTGCCCTGTAAACTTTCACTCAATTCACAATAAAAACCTTAAAAAAAAGAAGTTAGTGGGAAAATGCCATCTCCTTTTAATTCCATTCTTGCACAAACTTTTAGAAATCCCTTCGTAATTGAAATGGGATTAAGAAGAAATGCAATTTGACCAAGCAGTTCAACATTTTTAAGCAAGAGTTTACTTTTTTTTTTTTTAATCAAGAAAAGTTTTCTAATTGAATTTTTTCAGAATCTAGGCAATAATGGAAAAAGATCTGGCAGGATGACAGAATTTGAGGGTATGATGGTACTGGATATGTGGATGGTTGTAAACTCCTTCTTGTCAAGGCTGTGAAATCAACCCCACGTCCCTCTCTCTTTCAGTTTGATTTTCAAGAGGCCGTGAAGAATTTTTTCCCTCCAGGAAATGAAGTGGTTAATGGAGAAAATTTGAGCTTTGCATATGAATTCAAGGCCGACGCGCTGTTTGATTTCTTCTATTGGTTTGGGCTCAGCAATTCCACCGTCAAGGTGACTGGGAAAGTGCTGAACCTGTCCAGCACAAGTCCAGAAAAGAAGGAGACCATTCGGTTGTTTCTGGAGAAGATGAGTGAACCTTTACATCGTCGGAGCAGCTTCTCGGACCGGAAGTTCAGTGTAACTTCCAGAGGTAAGTTGGAAGTTCTCAAGTACAGCAAAGAAAGGCAGATAAATAAGAGAGTTGTTGTTGTTGTCAGGTGCCATCGAGTCGGAACCGACTCATAGCGACCCCATGCACAGCAGAAAGAAACAATGTCCGATCCTGGGCCAACCTCACTACCGCTGCCACACTTGACGCCATCAATGATGCCACCTGGCCAATCCATCTTTTTCTCTGACCCTCCATCTTACCCAGCATGACATCCTTCTCCAGCGACTGTTCTCTCCGGAAAATATGTCCAAAGTATGAGAGACGAAGCTTAGCCATCTTGGCCTCCAAGGAGCACTCTGGCTGGTAGAATCACGTAATGGGAAATGTGATTGTTGCTGCGTAAGTTCAAGGCAATTCCAACTCTTACCGACCCCATATGACACAATAGAACCACCCCATCTAGTCGGTTCTGACCCATAGTGACCCTGTATAGGGTTTCCGAGGAGTGTCTGGTAGGTTTGAACTGCCACCTTGCGATTCAGATCAACCTTCTAGTCCAGTGCTTATCCTACAGCACCACACCAGGATTCCAAATAAGGATTGTTATTGTTGTTGTTAAGTTGGTTCAACTCATAACAACCCTGTATAGGGTTTCCAATGAGCGGCTGGTGAGCTTGAACCACTGACTTTACAATTCAAAGTGACTTTTCAGTCCAGCGAATGAACCCACAGTGCCACAGTTCGTGCTTGTTAAAGTATTATTAACAATAATGTAGGTATTATTAAAGAGTAATTCTTTTCTAACCTAAGTGCATACTTCAGGCAACAGAATGTTAACTAAAATGATCAGTTGGAGGGAGGGTCTACACAGCTGAGACGTCTGCCTTTAACAATACTGCGGAACCCTCAAGAATTGAAATGCCACAGGACTGCTTTGTTCTTCTGGGATTTGGAAATCTTCCACCTTTGCCTGGGTGCAGTCTAACCACTTTCCTGTGTCTCCTTCCAGTGGGAAATATCTGCATTTTCCTTCTCTGACAGGTTTCAGCCTGACAAACGTTCAGGCTTTTGCAGGTTTGACTGTATTTTGAAGGCTTGTCAAGATTTTGTACTATCACTTAGCAATGGACTTGAGAATGTTTCATATAACAAACTGCAAAAAAAAGACACCAACCTTCAATCCCCTCGGAACTCTCTACTTCTCATCTGGGTTTGATAATTTATTGCAATGGCCACACAGAATTTACACCACACTGACAGTGATGGGTGCATTAGTGAAGTGAGGGGTTGCAATGCAGGGTCAGAAACACTAGGGGCGCAATTGTTCCAGCCAGAACAGCCTCTCTCCAGCTGTGCCCACAGGAAGACCTCTCTCTGGCCCAGCGGACTCCAGCAGCAGTACTGTATCTCTTACATTCCTTACAGCTAGTTGTTAAGTGCTGTGGAGTCGGTTCCCACTCATGGCAACCCTGTCTTGGATTTCCAGGAGCAAATGGTGGGCTTGAACTGCTGACATCATGGTTTTAAGTCCAGTGCTGAGCCTATAGCTCCACACCAGCTATTGTTATTGTTGTTGTATGTGCCATCGAGTCGGTTCGACTCATAAAAACCCTGTAGAGGGTTTCCGAGGAGTGGCTGGTGGGTTTGAACTGCCGACTGCTGTTCAAACAGACTTTGCAGTCCAGTGATTATCCTACAGCGCCTCACCAGGACTCCCACCAGCTGTTACAGGTAACAAATACCAAAGTAGCCATGTAAGACTGAAAGGTTTCACTTCCCATACTTTGTCTTACCCATAGCCCCAGGAAGACATTGTTTGGTGGGAGTTATAGAAGTGGCTTCTTGTTGTTATTAAGTGCCATTGAGTTAGTTCTGACCCACAGCGACCCTGTATAGGGTTTCCAAGGCTAGATGGGACATACTAAATAATTCACTTCACTGTACAAACTCTGAATGCTATGTGGTGGGTCCCTGATTTTCCTACTTGGCACCTCCTCCCCAGGAGCTGAGAGACAGTCTGGTACCACCGGTGAAGATTCCTGGGAACCATCTTCTGCCGGCCCATTCTCTCGGCTCCATGCTAGTCTGGCCTGGACAGCTCCTGTTGTTAAGTGCCGTTGAGTCAGTCCCGACTCATAGCAACTCTACATACAGCTTCCAAGGAGTGGCTGGTGGCTTGAACTACCGACCTTGCAGTTAGCAGTCCAGTGCTTATCCTACAGTGCCCCACCAGGTCTAGAGAGCAGCAGCCTTAAATCAAGACTCTTGTTGCTACTGGCAGAAAATCACCAACCAGTCTCTCTGCACCTCCAGTGTGTTCAAAGCTTGAGATGTAAATCAGCCACAGAAGTCTGGGGGGAGCACAGTTTCACGCCGACACATGTGGGGTCGTCAGGAGTTGGGGCTGATGCAATAGAATAATACCAGGGCTTCCACTGAGTGTGTTTAACGAGAGCTGCTTGCTTTCAGCAACTGTAGGCAAACATTTGCTAAGTTCTTCACCCTTTTCTTATTTCACTCTGTTTCTCCATCTACCTACTGCCTCCATTCTTTGTCTAGTATTCTCACAAAGATGTCTGTGTTCTTGGGCAGGTGTTGACACTATTTGTTGTTGGTCGGTGCCAACTCATAGTGACCTTATGCACAACAGAACGAAACACTGCCTGATCCTGGGCCAGCCTCACTACTGTTGCCACTGATGCTGCCACTTGGCCAGTCCATCTCACTGGAGATCTTCCTCTTTTTCTCTGACCCTCCATATTATCAAACATAATATCCTTCTCCAGCGACTGGCCCCTCCTGACAATATGTCCGAAGTATGAGAGATGAAGTTTGGGCATCTTGGCATCCAAGGAGCACTCTGGCTGCACTTCTTCCAACACAGATCTATTGGTTCTTTTGGCAGTCCATGGCACTTTCAATATTCTCCTCCAACACCATAACTGAAAAGCATCAATTCTTCTATGGTCTTCCTTATTCACTGTCCAGCTTTCACATGCATATCATGTTACTGAAAATACCATGGCTTGGGTCAGGTGCACCTTAGTCCTCAAGCTGACATCTTTGCTTTCAACACTTTGACACGGCACATGACCACCACTGGGCAGTATAGTCTGGTGTTTTTGGTGGGGGGGGGGTGGATAAGATGCATCGTTCCCCCCTGTTGTAGAGAGTCACAGAGATCTGGGTCCTTCCTGTGGCTCCCACCCACCCCTCTCCAGTAGCCACAACACCTGAATAGGGCACTGAGAAAGTTGCTTTGCTTCCCTGAAAACGAGCTCTGAGGCTGCCTGGGGTCACTCCAGCTCCCGAGCCCAGTGGGGAGCTGTTCTTTCCAGGTAGATCTGAGCAGCTCCATAGGCTCCACACGATCCACAGCCACGAGGCATTCCACTGCACAGTCCCTGGGGTGCAACTGTTAGTGCTCCGTTACCAACCCAAAGGTGCCGTGGAAGAAAGCCCTGGCAATCTGCTTCCAAAAAATCAGCCATCGAAAGCCCAGTGAGGTCCAGTTCAACCCTGACACACATGGGAAGTGTCATGAGTCCGTTCAAATCCACCAGCCGCTCCTCAGAAACTCTATACAGCATCGCTATGAGTCAGAAACAACCCAACAGCACTTAACAACAACAACATCAATGAGGCATCTTAGAAGAAAAGCCTGGCGATCTAAAAAAATCAAAATCACCATCGGAAAACCTGTGGAACCCGCTTCTCCTCTGACACACACGGGCGCACCATGCATGGAATCCACTTATGAAACATCATCCACTGAGAACCCTGTGAGCACAGTTCTACAAACACACACATACACACACAGGTCACATGAGTTGCAGTGGGCTCAATGTCAACTGGTGTCAGGACTGTAAAGCCAGCTTCCGGCTCTGGAGAACACAGGACCGACAGACAAGTCGATTGGTTCAATCCCTGGTGCATCAGTTACTCAGACTGTTTCCCTTCTCACTACCCAACTTCTGCCCTAGGTATCTATTCCTCCAATTTGGGTCTTCTGGTCATCCAGTGAGAAAGGACCGGTCCACACAATGTATTGCAAACCTACCGCAGCCTATGGGAAAAGCACGCGGCAACCCGAGCCCTGCAAATGTCATCTCATCCCAACAAACACGTTTCTGTTTAGCCTGGGTTTCCTGAGGGATCCAGGAGCCTCTGCATGTTATTAAGATGATTCTGTTTTATGTTAAACTGTTAAAGGCATGTTTTTGCTGTGATGGAAATAACATATACCTTGCTTGCTGTGTTTTAGGTTCAATAGATGACGTTTTTAACTGCAATCTGTCACCGAGACCATCTCTCACGGAGCCGCTTTTGGCAGAATTACCATTTCCAAGTCTTCTGGAAGCTGAGAAGACACCCAACCAGTTTGTCTGATTGCATTTCACATTCTAGCAGTTACTCCTACATTGAAGACCTGGGCAAGGATGGAAGGTGGAGGGAATAAAAGGAGGTGGGAGGCGGGCTGGTCAGCCCTTCCTCTGGTCTCCTTGGTTTCTTCCATGTCCCCAGTGTGATGGCCAATGCAGCTGACTCCTTGAATGTGTGGTGACCAGGAAGGCTTTGTCCTCAGCACGTGTGAAGGGGCCCTGGACTTCCAGAGGAGTGGCAGAGCCTGCCCCCTGGACATGTTCTTAATGTCCTGACATCTTGGGAATTTTCTGGGCAGCCTTTATGTGTGTGGGGGGAGGGGTAGTCTTTAGTGTTAACCCATGGGTTTTGGCCTCTGCTTGGGACATCTGTGTCTGAAACCAGACCCAGCAAGTACAGGGTCAGCATTGCTGCTCACTTGTCCACCTGGCTCTGCAAGAAGCTGGTGACCTTTTCCAGTGGTAAGCAAGTATGTTTCTTCACCCTGCCTGTTTGCAAGCTATACGGAAACATCCCAGGTAAGGGTCCCTGGAGGATTGGCCAGGCTGAGTCACACGGTAACTGTGCCACCAACTGCCTGACATTTGCATTTACCCTGGCCTCCCTCCTCTCACCCAAGTGGCCCATGGGGAGTGAGGCCTGGTAATATGGTACCAAACAATGACAGGGGACATATCATGCAAACCCCAGTGTCCTTACTAAAAGTACATCATGTCAGTTGGGTGTTTAAATGAGCTCTTAGGCCTCCTAACACTAAGAACATAACAGAAGAAAGCTCTCTCATTACCATAATACATTGTTACGTCAGACATTTGTCATCTCATCGCTACAATGGAATACTTCAAAAAAAAAAAAAAAAAACCCCAATCTACTATAAAAACCTCCATCAATGAATTGCTATAAAGGCTTATAATGAAGACCATTTATGGCCCTGCACATCATTTTCTATGCCTTTTCCAAATGTGTCCCGTATTTTACCTTCTGATAACTCTACTGATTGTCCCCTCATTCCTATTTACGATGCTGTGTGTCACTTTGTGCAATTAGAACTTTTCTGAGTGTTCAACCTGGAATGGGTTAAATTTGCCACCAAGCCCGCGTGCCTTATTTCCTGGTGGATTCTGGGTAGTATGTTTGCCTTCTAACCTGATTAAATGACAATCGGAATTATGGGTTTTTGGTTTTGTTTTGGTTTTTTGACAGCATGAGAAAAGAAGAAAGAGCCTTTGAAGAACGGGGTATGGAGTATTGGGAGAAACGATACCAGACCACAAGGTCGGTTTGAACTGCAAGGTCGATGGTTCAAACTCACCAGTCACTCCTTGGAAACCCTATAGAAGGTCACTATGAGGTGGTACCAACTTAATGGCACTTAACAACAATACTTAATAACAGAAGATAAGTATTTATCATGAGATATATTGTCATTCGATCCAGTAAAAAATGAAGGATGTTCACAATGAACTGTGTTTGAGACCCATGCAAACAAGCTTTAGCTGGACATCAAATATTTAATGTTTCCCAAAGGGAATAGTTTCTGTTTCTTTCTGTTCTTTTCTTTTCATGTTTCTTCTGCCCTTGTTGTTCTTAGATCCATGAATGTGTTTCTCCAGCACTTGGTTTCTAGGCTACTCCAGCGTCCTGATGAACTAATAATCAGTTTCAGTGGAAGTCCTAGATCATGTGCTGATATAAGGCTTACCACAACCAAATGAAACTGAATTGATTGTGTAACATTGCCCACCTTAACTTTACTCATGTATCTTTATAGCACAATAAGTAAACTCACCTAAAAAAAGAAAAATGTCTTCCCTGTTGACTTGCCTCATAATATTCCCAGCCCTGTTTGAATCAGGGATTCTGATGTGGTGCCGTAGGGTAAGCATTCAACCTATACAGGGTCATTATGAGTCAGAACTGACTCGACGACACTTAACAACAACAGCAAAGGATATGCCCAAAGCAATTAAGTGATGGTCTCACCATCCTCAACTCTAAGGAGGTCACAATAGATAGTCCCAAACATGTACCAGACTTTGAAGGCACCTCTTGTCAATACTTTTACACATCTTTGGTAAGCTTCCGTTTTCAATTCTTCCAACAATTCCCCACTCTCCCTCTCGCTCAGTTGACCCCGCCTCTCACATTATTTGGAACAACACTTTGCAATCTTAAACAAGCTGGAGATTTTGTGGAAGTGCAGATTCTGATTTGATACGTGGCTCTGGGGTGGGTCTGAAGAGTCTGCATTTCTAACAAGCTCCCAGGTGATGTTGATACGGACGTTTCTGCTCCTGGACCACAAGCAAGGCGCTAGATCTCTGCATCCCAATTTTCTGCATCACCTGGAGATCTTGTTGGAAATGCAGACTGTCAGGCGTCACCTCACTTACTGAATCGGCATCTGTGTTCCCACAAGATGTGCAGGTATTGGTGGGCACACTGGGCTTGAGAAGCAGAGCTTCAGGTCATCTGTCTTCTCCAAGCCCACACCCTACCTGCTCTGTTCTATAACCTCTAGTTCTCTCTACACCTGCTTTGTCCCCTTGGCCTGGAAACTTACCAAGTTTGTCCCGTTTTAAGTAACGGAGTTTCTAAGTGCTGTAACCCTTGATGTGCTTGACTACTAACCAAAAGGTTGGTGGTTCTAATCCACCCAGGGACACCCTGGAAACAGGCTTGTTGATCTGTTTCTCAATGGGGGGTCTCCATGAGTTGGAATCCACATGCCAACACTAGTGGGTGTTGTTGTCGATCTGACCTTCTCCTCTCCTCCAGCTTGCAGCCTTGTTCACCGCCCCAGTGTGAGTGTGAAGGAGGCTGATACTCCCGTCTCACCACTTGTCAATCTCTACCACTTCACATCACATCCCCCTAGTACCCATGTACCTGCGTGTCTGTGTAGAATGAAAGTTACTGTCACCGTGTTAACTGGAAACATTCCATTGGCATTCAAGCCAACCAACACAATGTTTCTCAATTGTTTTTGATGAATTCCTAATTTTGAAAAGCATACTGTCACCTAGATGTGTTCAAGTCTGAGTGGTTACCTTCTTCTGCCAAGGCGATATGGAAACTTGCTTCTCCTCCTCCTCTGAGAAACAGCTGAGGATTTGTTTAAACTTTCATCTCAGTCACTTCATTCGTTTACCCATCAGTAATCAACTTCAAGGTCAAGCTGAGTCCCAGTCTCTTAGCACAGCCTGAGAGGTCTGTCTGTCCATCATCTCTCAAGCTTTCTCCCGTCCCTCTGCAGATTCTCAGGAGTACACGGGTGGTCAACACCTCCTGAGCCCGGGTTCCTCTATGCCCTCCAGTCAATATGACCTGTGACATCTCTCCCTCTCCAGTTGGTGCATGGTGGGCTTAAATCTCTTAGGAATTTATAGATACTCAAGTTTAATAAGCACAAACTCATTTCATTTATAGTAAGTCATAGTAAGGCACATCAGTAAGAATACAAAAGGAAAGTAAATGGGCTCCAACTCATAATGACCCATTGGTGTTGTTAAGTGCCACAGAGTTGGTTCTGACTCAGCAACCCTGTATAGGGTTTGCAAGGAGCTGCTGGTGGGTTTGAACTGCTGACCTTATGGTTCTCAGTCCAGTGCTGATCCTAAAATAGTACGCTGGGCACCCATAATGACCCTGTATTGTTATTAAGTGCCTTTGAGTCGGTTCCAACTCATAACGACCCTGCATAGGGTTTCTGAGAAGCGTTTGGTGAGCTTGAACCACCAACCTTGCAGTTCAAACCGATTTTGCAGTCCAGCGCATTATCCTGTAGCACCACACTAGGACTCTCAGGACATAGTAAAACTGCCCCATAAGATTTCCAAGGCCAAAATCTTCCTGAAAGCAGAGTACCCTATCTTTCTCCCCATGGACAGCTGGTGGGTTCAAACCACCCACCTTTCAGTTCCCATTGGAATGCTTTAACCGTGTACCAGCAGGGGTTCTAAGTAAGGCCTCCAACATTTGGTTAGAACCAGACAATCAGAAGTAATAATTACAATGCCATTCAATGGGTCCAGTCCGAATCTTTACACCACAGGCTTTTACATTTAATAGGAAGTCTTGGGAAAAAAAGTTTGACCCTATTGGAACTTGCTGGAAGGTCCCCACAGCTAGGGTCCAAGGTTGAGATTGCGTATGAACAACTGATGGTCTGTACCACAGTCAGCTCCCGCCGCATTCTAACTTATGACAGTGACTTTCCTGGTCATCTCTTTCCACAGATGTGGTCAATATGTATGTTTCCCACTACTGTATTCTAAGTGAGATTTCATCTCTTAATAGTGTTGACAGAACTCGTGCAGATTTTAAATGTGTTCCGCCATTCACTGCTTTAAAATTTGTGCCTCAGATGGGTTCTCTTCATTCTGTTATATGATGAGGATTCTGCCCTCAGAAAATTCTAGTTTAGTTTTCCATTTGAAAGTAAATCCCTGCTTACATATTTGGATCCTGACTTTGATGTCTAGTCTGACTTCTTTGAAAAATGTTCACCTAGCGCTCTAAGACCTTATATTAGAATTGCCTTTTCAAGAATAAGGAATTGTGGTGAATTGCTTTTGCCCAGATTGTCAGCAGTCTCCAAGGAGTATTTACCGAATTTATTTTGTGGGTTAATGCAATGGACTGCAAAGTCGGTTTGAACCCAAGCTTGGTGGTTCAAGCTCACCAGCCACTCCTCAGAAACTCTATGCAGGGTTGTTGTGGGTCAAAACCGACTTGACAACACTTAACAACAACAACAAAGGGAGTAATAGCTATGTCCTAACTGGTAGACATTCAGTGTGTTTATTTAACACCTACTACGTATTAAATGAGGAGCCCTGGTGGGACAGTGGTTAGGTGCTTGGGGATAGTGTGAACTCACCCATGGCTCCTTGGGAGAAAGAACTCTCTGGCAGTCCTCTTGGAGGGTCAGTATGAGTCAGAATTCACTGCACAGCACACAATAACATCAATAACGTTTGTCAAATAGGAAGTCCCTTGGGTAGTATAGATGGCTGACATGCTAGGGAGCTAACAGAAAGGTTGGCAGTTCAGGGTCACCCAGAGGCAGCTGAGAAGAAAGACATGGCAATCTAGTTCTGAAAACTCAGCCATTGATAGTCCTGAGGGACACAGTTCTGCTCTGACACATACGGGCTCAGTAAGAGTCAGAGCCAACTCCACAGCAACCTGTATGGGTATAATGACCTGGTAACTGCCAAGACTCTGAGGGTAAAAGACCCTCTCCAAACCCAGACTCAAACTCACTCTGTCAAATCGGACTCTAAAGGACCTATAAAGAGCAGAGTCCCACTGTCCCATCGAGGGAGACTGTACACGGTTACCAACGCAGACAGACAACCTAAACTTTCTCCCGGCTGGCTGGTGGGTTCCCAGGCCTGACCTTCGGCTTAGCAGTCCAATGTTAATGCACGAAGCCACCAAGACTTCTAAAAGACCCCCCACACCCTGGGAAAACACTCCTAACATCATAAGGATGGAAAGACACAGCTCTGTCTATAGAAGTGGAAAATAATAAAATACACGTTAGGAGTTCTGGTAGCGTAGTGGTTACGAATCGGGCTGCGAACCTTAAGGTCAGCGGTTCGACACTACCAGCCGCTCCTAGGGAGAAAGATGAGGCTTTCTACTCCCGTAAAGATTTACACCCTCGGAAACCCTGTACAGAGTCGCTATGGGTCGGAACCGACTCGACGGCACTTAACAACAACAACAACAATGTACTAGGCGAGGGTGGGTGACTGGTGGAAGAAACAGTAGCAAACCTCCTTGCCCACTTTGCCCCTCCCCCTCTTGTCCTTCCCTAATTCTTCAACCAGACACGGAATCACCACAGAAACTCTTGAGACAGTTGTACTTATATTACCTACTGTCGTGTCCAGTTGTAAAGGACAACTTTGCCCACAGTGGTTTAAGTCGAGTGGAGAGAAACTTCAAGTTGACGAACTGACAACATTATTTTCTCTCCAAATCCACTCGCTTGAATCAACATACCTCTTTGCTGGCCACACACTCACTCTCCTGCTCGCTAAGCCTCCAGCGCACACATCTACTCACCCTTGGCCTCCCTGCTCAGAACAAACCCGGTTTCCATGGCGACGCGTCACAAAGTGCTTGCCTGCGCGTGCGCGCCATTGGGAGTGGAGAACTGAGCTGGAACAAGGGGGACTCCACGCGATTGGCTTTTGGGGCAAGAATGGCACAGCCTGGACCCAAGGTTCCGTGCCCCGTTCAATGCTGCCACAAGATCCAGCCAAGTAAGCCAGTCTGCGTGGGAGAGGGTGTTCTGGAGAAGGGGCACTTTGATCTCTATAAAGTTGTTTGTCTCCTTCTTAGGGGTCGCACTCAATTGAGGGAAAAAGCTGTGACAGGGAGATGGAGTGAATGTTTAGGATCTCTCCCCTTGCTAACTCTTTGCCCTACTTGCTGGCAAGTCTCCCTAAAACGACTTTTCATTTTAAATCCAAAAAACAAACCCACTGCATTGAGTCAAGTCCGACCCAGAGCTACCCTGTGTAAGGTTTCCAAGGCCGCTCCTCGAAAATCCTATACAGGGTTGCTATAAGTTGGAATTGACTGGACAGCACTTAACAATAACAACAACAACAAAGTCTTCATGAGATCAGAAAGCCTCATCTCCAGTCCAAAGAGAGGTAACCCAACAGAACGCGGAAATCATTGGACAATCTCATTAATACGCCATGCTAGTGAAGTTTTCTTAAAGGTAATCCAGAAATGACTTGCAACTTTATATGACAGAGAACTTCCAGAGGTTCAAGCCAGATTCAGAAGAGCACGTGGAATGAGGCACATCATTGCTGATGTCAAATGAATCTTGGCTGAAAGCAGAGAATAGCAGAAAGATGTTTACCTGTGCTTTATTGATTATACAAAGGCTTTCAATGACAAGCTATGGGCAACACTGGTAAGTATGAGTATTCCGAAACACTTAATTGTGCTCATAAGGAGCCTGTACAAAGACCAAGAAGCAGGAGTTTGAACAGAACAAGGGAACACCGCATGGTTTAAAATGATAAAAGGTGTGCACCAGGGTTGTATTCTTTCACGATAATCTGAGAAGATGGGTTATGTGAAGAAAAACATGGCATGAGGATTGGAGGAAGACTCATTAACAACCTGTGATTTGCAGATGATGCAATCTTCCTTGCAAAAAGTGAAGAGAACTTAAAATATTTACTGATGAAGATCAATGACCACATCCTTCATTATGGATTACATCTCAATTTAAAGAAAACAAAATTTCTTACCACTGGACCACTAAATAGCCATACAAATGAAGAAAAGATTGATGTCAAAGATTTCATTTTTCTCCGATCAGCTATCAACACTCATGGAAGCAGCAGTCAATAAATCAAACAACATATTGCATTGGGCAAATCTGCTGTACAAGACCTCTTTAAAGTATTCAAGAGGAAAGATGTCAGTTTGAGGACTAAGGTGCACCCCCGACCCAAGTCATAGTATTTTCAATAGCCTCATATGCATGCGAAAGTTGGAGAATGAATAAGGAAGACCCTAGAAGAATTGATGCATTTGAGTTATGGTGTTGGAAGACTATATTAAAAGTACCATGGACTGTCAAAAGAACAAACAGATCTGTGTTGGATGAAATACAGCCAGAGTACTCCTTAAAAGCCAGGATGGCTAAACTTATATTTTGTACATATTGTCAGGAGGGACTAGTCCCTGGAGAAGGATATCATGTTTGGTAAAGTGAAGAGTCAGAGAAAAAGAGGAAGACCCTCAATGAGATGGATTGGCACAGTGGCAGCAGGGATGGACTCTTTTTTGTTGTTGTTAAGTGCCATCGAGTCAGTTCCTACCCATAGGGGCCCTGTATATGGTTTCCAAGGAGAGACTGGTGAGTTTGATCTGCTGACCTTGCAATTCAAACTGACTTGGCAGTCCAGCACCTTAACCCACAGCACCACACCAGAACTCCACCAAGACCTAGACAGCCAGAAAACACGTCAGTCCAGGTTCCACTGAAATATAAGAAGCCACTGATAGCAGCCCAGATAAAGACTGTGAAGTGGCGATTGTATTTTACTAATGGAGAGGTCATTAAATAACTGAATTGAAATGTATATTCTCAAATAATTTGATGAACCTCTTTTGACAGTATGGCAGGTGGTTGGGTGTTGGACTGCTAACTGCAAGGTCAGTTAGTCCTGTAAAGATTTATAGTTTGGGAAACCCAAAAGAGCAGAAACTTGAAATGCTTGGCAAAGACTCTTTCAGAACCCACTAGATGGCAGTAGGTTTGGTTGTTGGCAGTGGGACGTTGAGCTGATTAATTCTGTTGTTCTTGTTGTGCGCTATTTGGTATCAACACACAGCAACCCCACGTGACAAAGTAGAACTGCCCCACAGGGTTTCCTAAGCTGTCATCTAATGTGTCACTATATACTCATATTGCTGTTGTCAGGTGCCATCGAGTCGGAACCGACTCATAGCGACCCCATGCACAGCAGAACGAAACAATGTCTGATCCTGGGCCAACCTCACTACCGC